TTCACATGCAAGGTAGAGGTGAAGTAAGGAACTGCTTATGAGGTTTTCCGTCCATTCCAACAACTAAGAGATAGTGAGAAGAGTTGGGACCTCAGAAGGCTTTTAGGTCCAATTAGTAGGCTCTGTGTCAGCTCTGGGAGTTCTTAATAAACTCATTCCATATACTTTGCCTAAAGACTGATAATAAGATTACTAATACAACAAATATAATAATATTTTTTGGCTCTCATTTTCTTGGTGATAGACACTAAGAAAACTCTAACTTAAGTTCTAAGGTCCTGGGACACAGTAAGTCCTCAAAAAAAAATGAAAAAAACCCCACAGAAAACCAAAACCAAAACACACACAGAAAAACCCCTCCATTATCATTACATATATCATCTCAAATTTTCTAGTAGTCCTGTGAAGTTGGTACTGTTTATCTCTACTTTACAGGTAAGAAAATTGAAGGACCAGTTGGTTAAGTAATTTGCTCAGGCCATTGAGCTGGGTAAGTGGAAGAGCTAGGATTCAAATGGAGGCAGTCTGACTCCAAGAACTCTACTTTTAGCACTATTCTGTCTGAATGGTTCTTAAATCTGAGAAGCCACGTATACTTAAAGAATTATTTTTGTTTTGCCTTTGCTTTTATATTTATATTTTTATGTTTGTATTTCTGATAATCTTCTTTGTGATTTGAGTACTGAAGACCAACATTTTTATCGTATTGAAGAAAGTTCTTGATTCCTGTGTCTAGTGATTGTGTTTGTCTTTTTTCTAGGGATGAGACTGAACAATAAATAAAAACTTCTAAGTATATTTAAGCCTAAGTAAAATGAGGAGCCTTCACTGCCATTCTATCTCCTATAGGCTCAAGTTCATACTCTTTCCCATAGAAAGCAAGACTTCTTTTGGCAGCTCTGTAACCTCCCCTCCTATTACTTCCTCATGCCTCAGCACTCTGGTATAATTCTGTGGTGCTGGACTTTTGGATATACAGTTAACTTCTTTTCTGTCCTCCTTTGTGTCTCATGAGCTGTTATTTATGTTTAATAAACAAATACATTACAATGTGTTCTTCTCCATGGAAGCCAGTTCTTACCTTCCCAGAAAGTTAAGGTGGTCTTCTCTATACTTTGCACTAATGGCATTGTAATACATTTGTTGATAAGCATATCCACTAATACCACCAGACTATGAACCTCTCATGACAGGTGTTTTATGTGTATTTTATTTGTCTTTGCTTAGTTTTGATCTGTGCCTGTCTCGTAATGAGTGTTTAATAAGTGTGTAATAAAGTACCCTGTTATGATAGTGTACATTTGGAATCATGAAATCACTCACTCATTGCTCTCAAGTTGGAATCAATTTATAAGCTGACCCTTCAGCAAGTATTTAGAGGCCATAAATGGTGCAGAAGGAGATGGTCCTTCTTTCTCCCACAGAGCAGCTGGTAGATTGGAACTGCTTGCTTTTGGGTTGACAGTGTAACTAACACCTTACCTAGTAGGCCATCTGACTTCTGTGTTTGGTATAGATAATGATAAATCATATTTTTTAAGATCATAGGTTTTAGAAACCACCAGTTGAAATCTAATTTTGCTATTCAGCAATGCCTGTATATTCCATATAACCATAATGTTGTATATTCCATATAACCTTGTTTAACTTTTGCCCCATAGTTACGGTTTTTCCCTATTCCGGGTGTCACAACTTTGTCAAAGCACTCTTGATTCTTTTCTATATTGTAAATTTTATGAGTCTGCCTTTCTCATTAGAACCTTTCATTAGGGCAAGATCTGTGTTTTGTTCATCTTTGCATTTTTTCTGAGATAATAGATTTGTGATAAATATTTGCTGAGTACAGTAATACATTATTATTTTGATAGATGCCTTAGTCTTTCAGTTGAGATGAAAGTGTGACCTGGTATTTTTTTATAAAGTGATACTCATTTTTAACCATCTCCCCTCCCTCCTTTAGACAAGGAAATATCTGATGAGGACGAGTCTCGAGATGGAGATTCAGAAGAATTGGCTCTGGAGGATTCTGATGAGGAGGACATGAGTGCTGCTGAGGAACAGGGGTCTGGTGATGATGAGGAGAATGGCCTGACTCAGAGGAAGAACAGAAACTGCTCAGGGAGAAAGCCTGGCTTCAGCGTCCAGAGCATTAGTGACTTTGAAAAATTTACTGAGGGGATGGATGACATTGGAAGCAGTGGTGAGGAGGAAGACGAAGAAGAAAGTGGTATGGAAGAAGGGGATGGTGAGGAAGACTCTGAGGACGAGAGTGAGGAGGACAAGGCTGAGGATAGGAACAGTGAAGATGATGGTGTGGTAATGACCTTCTCCAGTGTCAAAATATCTGAAGAGGTGGAGAAAGGAAGAGCTGTGAAGAACCAGATAGGTTTGTGCATGATTTTGCTCACTGCTTATTTTTCAGAATACATGCATTTTTACCTACTTTTTTTTTGTTTTGTTTAGTTTTAGTTTAGTCTGTCTTTCTTTTGGGCCTTTCACTTAGTTTGTGACATGCTTCACCTGCTTGGAGGCCTAAAGCTCCACTCCTCTGTGCTTAGCTAGTCATTTCTAGCCTGAGCTGCTTAGCTGGTTCTGCTCTGGTACTTCCAGCTGCTGTGGAAGATTGCTTTGAAGAGAAGAGTGTTTTCTCCTCCGCTTGAGTGTTGGCATTCCTTTACTCACAGTAAATATTTGCTTCCAAGATCCTGGCTTTACTTCCTTTAATGGAGAGTGTTTGCATGGCATGTAACTGTGATAAAGCTATGCTGCTTAGAGAACTGGTGTGATTTCCTATCTCTCTCCTCCTCCTGCTATCCAGGAAGATTTGACTGAGGGATGTGATTTTCTGTTTTTCTTTCTCAGCACTGTGGGACCAACTTCTGGAAGGAAGGATCAAACTACAAAAGGCTCTGTTGACCACCAATCAACTTCCACAGCCAGAAGCTTTTTCTCTTTTCAAGGACAAAGGTGGCCCTGAATTTGCCAGCGCCCTAAAAAACAGTAAGACTTTTTACTTTACAAATGCCATATTGAGATACTTAGGATCACATTATGATAACACTGGGATTGATATACGTGCAGCACCACAGGGTTAGAGAAGAAGTTCTATTTCAGTGATGCTATTGTATAATGGTTTTCAGATTTGAGATTTTTCTTTAATAATAGTGAAGATAAGTGATTGAAATGGATGACTGAGCTGTATATGTTAAGCTTTCTTCGTATGTGTCCACATTGCCTCTCCCCTTGAATCTCTGAATTATATTTTTAGTGCTTTGTTCATTCTCCTTCCCATTGCCATTGAATGGGTGACTTATAGAAAGCCTGCCCTTCAGCAGGTTTTCAGAGGCTGTAAAGTTCATGGGAGGAGATTGTCCATCTTTCTTCCGTGGACCTGCTGGTTGATTAGAACTGCTTACTTTTGGGTTGACAGCACAGCTCCTTACCCACTAGGCCACCAGAGCTCCCTTTAGTGCTTGGGGAACACTATTTGAAAACAATGGTATAGAAATAAAAAAGAATGAATGACTAAACTCAGTTCTGTCAGTTGGTTTACCATGTTTAAAAGATGCCTTTCTTTGTTTAGATATCTTTTCGAAGAACAGTGTGATAAGATGATGCTATTCCCCCTTTCTTTTGGGTTGTGTGTATTTAAAATGAGGAGAGGTGACTGCAGAGGGAGAAACATTTTGGAGGAGAATTGCTGAGCTATAAAGTTGAATAATTTTAGAAGAGAAAAAGAATGTAGTATTTTTGTTTCCTGATCCCCTCATTATGCAGATGAGAAAACTAAAGTCTAGAGAGAAAAACTTGCCAGAGGCTACAGAGCTTTAGAATCCTTCCTTTGTACCACACTGTACGGCACTGAGGGTACAGGGGCAGAGGGTCATTTGGGATAAGTCTGTGCACTGTGGTTGGAATTGCTGTTTCTTATTTACAAGTTTAGACTTAGTGTTTTTGCTTGTTCCTTAAAACATTTTCATGATATGGATTAGAGCTGCAAAAACTCGGAGGAGGACATCTAAGTTGGCCCCTGTCTGTTGGTAACCTCTGCTATTAAATTGGTTGTAATTTGAATTCTTGGGACTGTAAATCTTTATGGGAGGCAAGCATCATCTTTCTTCTACTAAGAGACTGGTGGATTTGAACTGCTGAGCATTTAATTAGCAATCTGTTATTTACTATGCTATGTCACACTTGATAGTGCTAATGCGAAACCTATACTTGGACCAGGAGGCAGTCATCAGAACAGAGCAAGGAAACACTGCATGGTTCAGAATTGGGAATGATATATGCCAGGGATGTATCCTGTCTCCATACCCTTTCAGTCTTTATGCAGAATAGGTTATCCGGGAGGCTGTGCTCTATGAGGAGAAAGGTGGCATCAGGATTGGGAGGAAGAATCAACAGTCTGCATTATGCAGATGACACAACCTTGCTTGCTGAAACTGAAGAGGACCAGAAGCACTTACTGTGGAAGGTTAGGGACTGCAGTCTTCAGTATGGATTGAGACTCAATATCAAGAAAACAAAGATTCTCACCACTGGACCAATTGGCAGTATCAGGATGGATGGTGAAGAGATTGAGATTGTTCACAATTTTGGTTTGCTTGGATCCACAGTCAACACTCTTGGCACCAGTAGCCAGGAGATTAAAAGACGTATTGCGATTGTAAAGTCTGCAGTTAGAGACCTCTCTAAAGTGCTGAAGTGCAAAGATGTCAGTCTGGAGACTAGGGTGTGCCTGATACATGCCATGGTCTTTGCAATCACTTGTTATGCATGGGATAGCTGGATTAGGGAGGATAAAAGGAGAATTGATGCCTTTGAGCTGTGGTGTTGGAGAAGAGTATTGAATATACCATGGATTGCTAGGAAAACGAACAGGTTTGTCCTGGAGAGGGTTAAAACTGGGCAACTCCTTGGAGACAAGGATTCTGAATCTTCGTCTAACATACTTTGGACATGTTGCAAGGAGGGACCAGTCCTTGGAGAGGAACTTCATGCTTGGGAGGGTGGAGGGACAGCACAGGAGAGGACGACCCTCAATGAAATGGATTGGTTCAGTGACTGGGGTAATAACGGGGGCTGCTGTGTCAGAGATGGTGAGATTGGCACAGGATAGGGCAGAGTTTAGGGCTGTTGTACGTAGGGTCACTATGAATCGCAGGCAACTCAACAGCACATAACAACAATAATGTCACCAAACTCTCTAAACTCTCTAAATGTAAAGAAATGATGGTAGTTATAGAACAGAATTTTGTACAAAAACGATGTTAGTTATAGAACAGAGTTTAGGTCTTTGTGCAAAACTTACTCGCAATCATCTTCGACTTGGCAACACTTAAGCACTGTTAAGTGAAACTAGTGCTGTTTTATCTGGAACACTCTTACACTTTGTATATCACTCTTTGTCAGTGTGCAGTATGAAGTAACCTTGGTTGCTGTGCTGAACCTTTTACCACTGAGGTATCAGATACCAGGTTGGCTTGCCAGTGTGGACTGTTTTGGAGCTCCCAGCTGTAAAACAGGTTTGGAAGCAGGAGTGGCATCCACTTCTAAACCACATGCTTCTGCAAACTATGAACTTGGAGAAATGATTACAGTTAAGGAAAGGCATTGGGTCTTTTGTTCATAGAGTTGCTATGAGTCACGCTCCACTTGATGGCAATCAGCAACAACAGCAACAAGAAGTCACTAGAGCTTCTCTGCCTCTAAGCATTGGAGGATGGTAAAACTGCAGTAGTGTTCTGTATATCCTGTTTGCATAGTCCAGCTGTTGTTTTTTTTGTTGTTATTGTTCAATATGGATTACATCTAAATGTCAAGAAAACAAAGATTCTTACCACTGGAACGATAGGTAACATCGTGATGGATAGAAAAGAGATTGAAACTGTTAACAACTTCATCTTGGATCCACATTTAACACCCTTGGTTCCAGCAGTCAGGAGATAAGGAGACACATTGCATGGGGAAATCTGCAGTTAAGAGACCTCTTCAAATTATTGAGTATAAGTTTGAAGATTAAGGTGCATTTGATTCAGGCCATGGTCTTTGTGATCACTTACTATGCATCTGAGAGCTGGACAGAGAATAGAGATGACACAAGAATTGATGCCTTTGAGTTGTGGTGTTGGAGAAGAGCACGGAACATCCCATGGATGACCAAAAGAACAAATAGGTATGTCTTAGGGTGCAGCTGGAGTGCTTTTTTGGAGGCAAGGATGATGAGGTTTCACTTCATATACTTTGGGCATGTTGCTAGGAGGGGCTATTCTTTGGGAGGAACATTATGCTTGAATGGGTAGAGGGTTGGCAAAGGAGAGGAAGACCCTTGACCAGGTTGATTGACACGGTGACTATCGCAGTCGGCTCTAGTATGTCAGAAAGTATGAAGATGGGACAGGATAGGACAGGGTTCAGATCTGCTGTTCATAGGGTCGCTATGAGTCAGACTCAATGGCACATAACAACAGCAACATCTAATCCCCTTTGGTGGGCCTCCTACATTTGCATAATTCTACTCAGTTGTCTGGTGAGAGTTGCAAAGGCTGTGACTTGAAGGGTCATATCAAGTAATTGACTGCACCACAGTACTGAGACAAATGGCTTTTTGCCTCATTACGAATTTCAGTTTCTCAAACGTATATTAATTTGACAAGGTGCATTGTAGTGAGGAGGGAGAGGAAGGGTTATGTTTGATACCATATATTCTGAGAGGACAGAGAAATAGTTTTAACAAGAATTTCTGGGCATTTGAAAGTAGCTCCTTTGGGTTGGTTTCTTTCAACCTTTTCATTGCAGTAAGGCATAATATGTTGTATTCTTTACTATTTGTAAACAAAACTTTAAGAAAAAAATTCATTTTCCTGGATGAACAGTTTATTCTGTACTCTGTAGAGAGCTCTAGTGACATTGTATGTAACATAACAGGTTGTAAATTAAAAAAAAAAAAATTTAACCGGTCCAATCCACTCCCCTCCCATAAAGGGTTACAGTCTCAGAAGCCTGATGGAGGGTCAGAATCAATTTGATGCTTAAGTATTTTTGGCTTATATAGTATATGAGAAGGGAATTCTGTGGTAAGGATTTCTGCTGCCGCCCCAAGAGCAGTTGATTCAAATTCACCAGCTGTTTCATGGGAGAAAAATGACAGTCTTCCCTGTGATTTACAACCACTGAAAACCCTCTGGAGGGTCAGCTGTGAGTCAGTTTTGACTTGATAGCACATAACAATAACAACAATAGGAAAAACCCTGATGGTATAATAGTTAAAGTGCTTGACTGAGAGCCCTAACCTTGGCATTTCAAACCCACTAGCTATTCTGTAGGAGAAAGATGTTAGTCTGTTTCTGAAAAGATTTACAACTTTGGAATGGCCCTTGAAGCCATTCTTTGTCCTGTAGAAATTGACTCCATGACCGTGCTTTTATTTCTTTATTTCCCCTCCCCCATTTTATGTATTATGTAGCTGATATGAATGTAGGGCTTCAGTTTGTACCAGCTCTAAAATCAACATTGAAACTTGATGTCTTTGATGTAACTTCAGTTTATTTGATATTATAGAGTGTTTAAAGTCAGATTGCTTGGTTTTAGATTCCATCTCAACAATAGATTAGCTATGCAACCTTAGGCAAGTTTCACTTCACAGTAAAATGAGGATAATATGATTTGTAAAGATTAAAGGACAGAATATAGAACATATCACAGTGTCTGATACATAGTGCATTTATGAATATTAGGTACTAGCATTACATTCTTCTGTTGAAAGAGGCATTTAATATAGTCCAGCCACATGTATAATCATCATGAGTGTAACTAACCATAGTCCTTTCTGTCTTCAGTGGTTTTTGTACTTTGTTAGTATATTAGTTTCCTAGGGCTAGTTGGTGTAGAACAGCAGCTATTTGTTCTCTTACAGTTCTGAGGATGAGAAGTTAGAAATCAGTGTGTTGGCAGGGCCATGCTGTTTCTAAAGGCTCTAGGGCAGAACCTTATATCTT